GAGTCTTATTTTGTCATCCTTGGTAGAGTGCCGTGGTGTCACTGCTCACAGCAACCTTAAACTCTTGAGCTCAAACGATTCTCTTGTCTCAGCCTCCCGAGTAGTTGAGACTACAGGTGCCTGCCACAACGCCTGGCTATTTTTTAGAGACGGGGTCTCGCACTTGCTCAGGCTGGTCTCAAACTCCTGAGCTCAGGCAGTCCACGTGCCTCAGTCTCCCAGAGTAGGGGTGGGGGGACCATGACCTTCGTGGTGGGAAGGTCAATTGCAGTTTCCTACTGGTGGGCTTACCCCGCTTCAGGAGAGGAAGCAGCGGGCTGACCTCCTGGGGCACCTGACTGCAGAGCTAGAGCGCCTCCGGAAGGCCCATGAGCGAGAGTTGGAGACCATGAAGCAGGAGCAGGAGAAGCATCTGGAGGACTTGCGGCGCCGGCACCAGGAGCAGGTGAGGGGCCTGGGGCGAGATGAGCCCACCACGATGTCTCCGTGCAGAGCCAGAAGGTGCTGGGTGCACATGCCATGGCTGAAGCAGGATGGAGCCCAGCAGCTTCCCGACTGGGGGTCTTTCACTGGCCATCTCCAAGCTGGGGCATCTTTGCTCCTTTGTTTTCTGGGCTGGGGGACATGCTTGGGATTAGAAAGGGAAGCCAACCCTGGTAACGCTTTGGAATCAGCCCTTTGCTCTCCTTGCCCCTGCTGGAAATACACAAGGTGTGGTGCTTTCCTGGGAGGCTACAAGGGCACACTGGGAGGAAGTCTGAGCCCAGAGTGGAGGTCATGGTGTGGCATGGTGGGTTGTGGGTTCTGGAACCTGCTCCTGCCCCTCAGCTGATGCCTTATACTCTTTCTACACTTACGTCTTTCTCTCCACTTGCTCTTCTGGGCAGGAGAGGAAGTTACAAGATTTAGAGATGGAATTGGAAATGAGAACTAAAGATGTCAAGGCCAGATTGGCTCAGCTGGATGTTCAGGTGAGGGATCTGCAAGGGCCTTGCCCTTAGAGTGACAGCTTCTCTAGAAGACTGGCCCTGCCCCTCACCCCTGGGTCTGTAGTCAGCCAACATGCTCTGTCTGCCCCCCAGGAGGAGACTGCCCGGAAGGAGAAGCAGCAGCTACTTGATGTGCAGAGGCAGGTTGCTCTGGAGAGCGAGGTTTGTCTGCTGCTCTTGGTCTTGTTGTCCGTTTGCTTTTCCTTCATCCCCTTCCTTTCCACACCTGCCCTCCCGACACCATTTTTGTTTGCCTGATCAAAGCCCTGGAGTTCCAAGCTCTGTTGGCTAATATTCCACTTATAGCTTCACTCTGTGGACCTCCACTTGGGAACCTTAAAGAATTGGGGCTGTGGTGGGACAGGAGCCTGCAGGCCTCCTGACCTCAGAGATGATGACTTCAGTCCCATACCCTAGCCCGGGCTCCTCAGGCTTCCCTGCCTGCAGCTCATGCTGCTGCTGCCTGCCTTCTCCCCACTGTGTCTCTGGGTGCTTTGATCTTTCCTTCTGTCCCCAGGAAGCCACAGCCACCCATCAGCACTTGGAGGAGGCAAAGAAGGAGCACGCCCACCTGTTAGAGTCAAACCGGCACCTCCGAAGAATTCTTGACAAACTTCGGTCTCGCAAGATGGAGGTGGAGTCTCAAGTGGACCTGCTGCAGACTCAGAGTCAAAGACTGCAGAAACGCATCAGGTGGGGTGGGCACTTAGCCGCCCTGGCCGCCTCCCCCTGCCCTCTGATGTCTGCTGGTTGTGGGGCCTGTGTAATCATGGCCCAGTTCATAGGGAGAGGCAGAGGTGGAATTGCTGACTTGGGGGCCAAGCAGAAGAGCCTGTGGCTGCTGCATTTTGTAGGAAGTAGGAGATTGTTAGGAGGGTGTGAAGAGCAGGGGATCCTTGATTGTACTGTTGCGCCTCAGCCCCACCTCTGGGACTGTGGCTGGAGTGAGACAGTGGAGATGTCCCAGGAGGACGCTGCCTGGGCTGCTTCATCACGAGACCTTGCCTCACAGCTGCTGCCCACTCTGCTTCCCTCTACAGCAACCTGGAGGCAGAAGCTCAGAGGAGGCAGGACCTGTTGAAAGAGCTGGCAGTTGAGCAGAGTAATACTTCCTCACATTTTGAGCCGGAACTCCACATTGAGGACCTGAGGAAATCTCTTGGGATGGTGAGCTAGGGGCTGGAGACTGGGTGGGACATCAAGAGGGGTGCCGCACCAGGGGTGGGGCATTACAGAGCATCAGGAGAGCCTGTACCCAGGGGTGGGTATTGGAAAGGATTGTGGCTCTGCTCTCTGTAGGACCTGGCCTCCGGTTCTTATTCCTAACTTCCTATTGTCTCCACCAGTCGGGTAGTGTCTATGGCAGTTGCCTGGCAGCTGGCAGAGCCATTTCCTGTCTAGGCCACTGGGAGGCCTTCGGGGTCTCTTCAGCCTGCACGATATCTGCTTTTGCTGTACTCAGTAGGTCTTTTCCACTGTGTATCCCTAGAACCAACCCAAAGAGGTGTCTTCTACTCTTTCTCAGAGCAAGGAGGACTTGTCCTTGGACAGGTGAGTTCCCATGACTTGTCTTATTTTGGGTTGGGAGTACTGTGAAGGAGTGAGTGAGTGACTACCTGGTTTAGAGAGCTGGGGTGAGCTGAAATGAGGTGACAGTGATCACCTATGGGGCTTGGTTCAGCAGGAACGCCCTAGGGGACTGAGAAATCTCCTCTGGCAAGTTAAGACATTGCCCACTGTAACTTTTGACACAGCATTCTGGCATCTGCTGATGTCTGGTTGACTGCTGGAATGCCTGGTCATCTGTGTTGGAGGGCCTAGATGCAATCCTGTCAGAGTCAGGGTAGGGCCACTGCTAGTCCTGCATGCTGCACGCTGTAGGCATTTAACAGTGGCATCTCAGCACTCTGCCCAGCCGCAGCCTGGCAGCTCCTGCCTGTGCTCAGGGTGGGCATCAGCTAGGAACTGGCTGTGTGACCCAAAGCAGGGTTCTTAGAGCCTTGTGTTTTCCTTCTCCAATTCTGCTGTCCTGCCTGTCCTCCCACAGTGTGCGGCACTACGTCTCTGCTGAGGGAGTAGCCCTCCGTAACGCCAAGGAGTTTCTGCTGCAGCAGACACGCTCCATGCGGAGGCGGCAGACAGCTCTGAAAGCTGCGCAGCAGCACTGGCGTCATGAGCTGGCCAGTGCTCAGGATGTGGCTGAAGACTCGACAGACACCAAGGCCCTGGGAGATGTGCGCAGGAACCTGGAGGAGGTCAGGAGCTTGAGAAAAGGCTGCCAGCCTTGTCCCGGGGGAGCACTGAGAGAGCCAGTCCCATACTCAGGTTTGGGCTTTCCCAGTTGGTTAAAATGAGAGTAGCCTCCTGGACCCTGGGGTCACTTACAGTTACATGGCAATGCATAGCACTTCTTTAATAGCAAACCACTGGATCCTCACAGTAACCATATACTCTATAATGTGCAAGGTTGTTTATTATTCCCATTTTCTAGGTGAATAGTAACAAGTAAGATTTTAAAACTTTAAATTTCAGAAAACTTTTAAACCTTTTAGTTGAAAACTTTTTCATTCTGTCATCCTAGGTGCTTCTTTCATACATGAAAATCCTTTAAACACACTCAGCATAAGTCTCTGAGTAGCTTCTCTGATAGCCTGATTTGCATCAGAAAGGCAGAGATTTTATTGTTGCTAGTTGGTATTACAAATCTCTGTACCAGTACAGGGTCCTGGCAGACCCTGGGGCTCTCTTGCATCATTCCTGTGCCCTCAGAATTCTCATGAGGAGGATGATGATGATAGTGATAATTGGAGCAGTGATGACAGTCACCATTTGGTTAACAGTTATGATGTGCAACTTTATTAGGTATGAGCATGGTGTTACACATGTGACATACTGTCATTTAATTCTCATAACCTTATGAAAAGTCACATTTCTCTTTTCCAGATGAGAAACAAGACTAAGAGTTAAGGAATTTATTCAAGATCACCCAGCCAGCAAATGGCAGAGTTGGGACTCTTACATCCGTGTGGTTGGTCACTTCTCCTCCCCTTTCTCCCTGGCTGCAGGAGACCAGGCACCTGGATGAGATGAAGTTGGCCATGCGGAAAGGCCATAACCTGTTGAAGAAGAAAGAGGAGAAGCTGAATCAGCTGGAGTCCTCCCTTCGGGAAGAGGTGCAGCCCTGTGGCCACGTAGCCCAGTGTGGTTGCTGCCTCCCTCTTCTGATTCTGGGGTTGGGTTGGGTTCTTTGGTCCTGGGCAAGGGAACTGGTCCTCAGGACCCAGGACTGGGCAGTGGGCTTTAGGCTCCTGGCTGGTGGAAATGACTGGTTCCAGCTCTGAGTTTGTTGAAGCCACTGAGGATTTGGCTGTCTGTGCCGAATGGTCCTGAGTATACCTGGAACCTCTTACTGAAGAGTCCCGAGAAGTGGATCTAGCCCTGCCCTAATTCTGTCAGTGTACCTAAAGAGAAGTTTGACTAGGGTGTCAGGAATGGACACACATGACAGGTTTTCCAACCTGGCCTGTGACCTTGTAGACTTTCTGCTGGGTACCTCAGGTTTAGCTGTGGCAGGAGGGGGACTCAGGTGGCTAGATCCAGCAGGGAGAGTTTACTGGGAGGCTGGGGCAGGTATCTATGGTCCTGGTGGCCCTGTTGGCCATAGCTCAGGTGCTTCGATTCTCTTAGTTTCACCCCCCTCCCAGCCTGCTGTGAGGCAGCCTGTGTGGTCTCCTCAACCCCCACTATGGTGCCTCCTGGGACTGGGCCCCAGAAGAGCCTACCTACTAAGTCTGCAGTCCCCATAAGTCAAAAGGGCAGCAGCCTACAGACAGTCTCAGATATATAGCAACATAATTGCTAGGCGAGCAAACAGAGATGGCCTTTCATGGGTTTGTGTAAGAAAGCTAGCGTGAAGACAGAACATGCAAAAGAACCCAGCTCAGCATTCTAGCCACTTGCTGGGAAGGCAGGAGGCAAGGTAGAGAGCACACTGGAAGGGGCAGTAATAACTGCTGCTTCTACCCCTCAGGACTTAGGCGAGGACACTTTGAAAGGATCTCCCACCAAGAAGGTGACCTTCGACCTCAGTGACTTGGACGACACAAGCAGTGAAAGTTCCAGTTCTTCCTCTACGCCTCGCAGTGAGTGGTGATGGCAGCAGGGAGGTAATGAGGGAGATGCCGGGATGAGGACTGCAGTCTCCAAGGATAGGGAGGAATAGGGGAACAGAGGGCTGTTCCTCAGCCTTGCAGAAGGACGTCTCTGTGAGCTGGTGTCTATACTAGGTACTCAGCTAATGCTAGGGAGTTAATGCCTGGTTTGCTGGCAGAAAGGGCCCAAAGTTAATGCCTGGTTTGCTGGCACACAGGGCCCAAAGGGTCAGAGGGCCTTCTGAATGCTGCAGAGCACTTTACCATGGGAGAGCTGTTCTCTGCTAGCCTCTGCTCTTGCAAGGCCTCCCTGGGGAAGGCTGTTCTCCCTCTGCTGGGCTGGCCTGAATGTGGGCAGAGGGCCCTCTTGCCTGTCTTCTCTCCAGGGTCCTGGGCCCCTTTCCCAGGGCCTTGCCCTGGAAGCTGTTTCTTATGGCCAGCTTTTAGAACACAGAAGCTCTGCTATCCCTTGACACCCCCATAAGCCAAGCAGCTGTTGTCTTGGTTGTCTGGAGGAACAGGGAAGGACAGCCAGCAGGGGATCTGAGGTCATTGCAGGCCTGACCCTGAGTTCTTCCTCACCATCCACCTCTTCCCATTCAATAGGCTTATCCCCAAGTCCCGTCTTCCCTGACAAGATCCATGACCTGAGCAGCTCCCTGCAGCGGATCAGCAGCCAGCTGAACACCGTCCTGGGCCTCCTCGGCAGCCTCAGTGCTCAGCCACCACCACTCTTCACTTCCATGCCAGCGAACTTCTCTCTCCGGGCTCCCAAGAGCACCTCCACTCCCACCTACTGCCCCTCCTTGGCCAGAGCCTCGGCCTCATCCCCTGTGACACCCACATTCACATCCACGCAGTGGGCTTGGGACCCGGGGCTGGGTCCTAGGCTCTCCTCCTCCATGGCTCAAACAGTAGATGACTTCCTGCTGGAGAAATGGCGTAAATACTTTCCATGTAAGCCTCACTCTGGGCCGGCATTTGGATCTGGGCTCAACCTTCCCACCGTCCTCCTCCTCCTCTTTTCTTCTGCCCTCTTTTTCCTATTCCTCCTTTTTCCTCCCCTTGTCCCATGCTCCCCAACTTCAGCATGGTCATTGGTCCATTGGCCCTGGGGGTGTCTGATGAACAAGACCTTGTTGGTGGTCCTGCAGCCAGAGGCTCTGTGGGTCAGGATGTTTTAGGATGGAGCCTGGGTTGATTGGTCCTTTTTTTAATGGATTCTAGAACTCAACAGAACCTACAAATCATTATAGTTGTCATCAATAATTACCATCTTGTGTAGTACATTATGGGCCAGGCATTTGGTATTTCTGTTAAGTCTTCATGGTAATTTTCTGAGGTAGTAATTATTTATCCACATTTTACAGATGAGGAAACTGAGACTCAGAGAGGTTAAATTATGTGCTCCGGGTACCCAGTGAGTGAGTAGCAAACTGAGTTTTGACCCATGGCTCTGTGACTCCAGGATGCTGCTTGTAACCTCTTGGTGTGTGGTTCCCCCTCGCTTCAGGCCTCTCCTGGTCTTATAGCCCCTAAGGAATATGAAAAACCATAAACACACTGGCATTTGAGGAAATATAAATTTCTTCTTTCTGCTTCAACTCAAATTTGAAAAGTAGATTAAGTTTTAGAAATTAAATAAATAGGACCATCCTCTGTCTTACCTCCAGCCACTGAGGCTGTTCCTGCTTTTATTGTTTGCTCTGGGGAGGCAGGAGGTGCAGGTGAGCAGGGAGGCATCCTGCAGGCTCAGGAGAAAAGTGGCTCAGTGCCCCTCCCAGGTGCTGAGCCCTTTCCTCCTGCCCTTTCAGCAGGCATCCCACTGCTGAACAACAGTCCCGCCCCCCTGGAGAACAGGCTGGGTTACGTATCTGCCAGGTAAGCCTCCTTATGGCTTGGTCAAGTAGAGCCTCACAATCAAGTTTCTTGCTGTGAGGGGAGCAGACCTTCTGGACCTATTGTCCCAAGAGGTCAGGAAGATGCCCAGTCTACAGAGCTACCCATGTCTTACCTGGGTCTGAGGTGCCCCTCCACAACCAAAGGAAGTCCCATTAGGGGCAAGGCCAGGCTTATGTTGCCAGCTCCATGAGGAAGTGACCCTGTGGCCCCTGGGGGCAAAATCAGCCCCTGGTAGGACCCAGCCCCTGCCCCTTCCTAGGGCCTCTCCGGTCTTGGAGTCTGGCCTTTTGTCTTCGCCCTTGAGTTCTTGTTTGCTTCCTATGGCTCCTTTCTTCCCCAAGTCCTGCTGAGCAACATCTGGAGTGAGAGGGGCACCCCACTGGGGAGACAGACGGGCAATTATTTAAACCTGTTATTAATTTCCCATTCATCTTACTCCTTGCCAAATGTATCCCTCACTCCTGCTAAGGCCCCCAGCCATAAGTAACCCCCCACCTTCCCTTTAGCCAACTCTGGAGCTGGTACTGGGCTTGAGTTGTTGGAGGGGAGCTATGCTGATGGGATTGGCTGGGAATAGGCAGATGTGGGAGCCCAGAGGCTGATGTCTGTGGTATGAACCTGGGAGGTGAGGCAGGGCGATCACCACCTTCTCTTTTGGGAATTGTTCTAGAGGGGCAGATTTGCCTGTGAAAGGATGCTTTGAATTGCTGGAGACCCCCAAAAGACTGCAGTTGGGAGGAGGCAGTGTAACGGGTTGGCGGGTTGGCATAGTACACATCCCCTTCCTCTGGCAGCCCTGGCTCCATTCTTCCTCTCCCCACACTCTCCTCCTTCCCAGTGAGCAGCTCCGCCTCCTGCAGCGTCCACATTCCCAAATCCCCGAGGGGGGCAGCACCAACTTTCAGGGCATGATCGAGGCTAACCGAAAGTGGCTAGAAAATTTCAAGAACGACTCCAAGTTGTATCCTTTTAGTTGGTTCCAGAATCCTGGTCCTTTCCTACAGTAGCAACCAGGCTGGGCTGCACGGCCTGTCCTTGTGCCCTGGGGGTCCAGGGAGCATCCTGTTCAGCCTTTGACCTTCTGTTGGCCCCTGCTGGGTGTGCTCAGCTGATGGCAGTTTTCCTTCACTCCGTGGCCAGACATCTTTTCTCTTCGGTGCCCAAGCCAACAGCCACTTCCAGCCTCTTGCAGCTGGGCTTGGATGAGAAGAGGAGGCTGAAGGTGTTTCACTATTGAGTCTCTGAATGGGGACGTGGGACAGCCTGGCCTCTCCTCCACCCAGACCAAGTGCCTGAAGAGCTGCCTGGTAAAGCATTTTCCAGTCCCCTTTGCCACTCACCCCACTCAGGACTTGGAGGGGCAGCAGGGACTACAGGGTGGGTGAAACAGCCTCATACTCTATACCCACATAATGGGTCATGGGCTGAAACAATGGGTGGGACTGCTGCAAGATCCTGCATGACGTGGCGAGCTGACGGCCCATGGCTGCTGTGGAGCGTGGAGATGCGAACACCTTTGGGAAGAAGCTGCCTTCAGGACCCAGGGAACCTCTGGGACTGGGCTGGTCCCTTGGTGCTACAGGGCACATCTTGGGGCTCCCCTGGAGGTTGTGTATATGGTTCTTGATACACCAGGACAAAGTCCCCCAGCATGTTTATACCCTGGGGCCAGATCTGTGGGGCTCACCCCTGTCTCTCTAAGGCCTTAGCCTTAGACATTAGGCCCTTTCATTTCTTTTCTGTTTCCTTTCAGTTTTTAAAAAATTTCTCCTTTTCTTGAGCATTCCATCTTTCCTTTTGACTATCTCAGGATTGGCCCAGAGCCCTGGGGAAGGTTGCTGGGGCCTGTCCCTCTGCTGCACTGTACTTTCCTCAAGGGCTGTCCTCAGGAGCGCCCCTCTTCCTTCCCCCGGGCTCCTCCTCAGCCATCCCAGCGAATCTCAGGTCTCAAGTATACAACTTCTCCAGGAAGCCAAAAAGCCATAGGAAAAGACTGGGATGGCTTCTGGTCCTCATCTGGGTTTTTCTCTTCCTGGAACACCTTGGGTATTCATGAGTCCTTGTTTCCGTCTGTGTTTTCAACCTGTGCCTGACCCCACTGCTGCCTGTTCTTAGAGCCTGGCTAGTGAGGGGCCGGACCAGCACCTGGTACTGGCAGTGAGGGGTCTCATGTCAGTAGGTGCTGCAGCCACTCTGGCTGAGCTTTCCACAGCCCTGCTTCCCATCGGTGGGCTCCTGGGGTGGGGATTTGCAGGAGTTGTTCTCTGACATGGCTCATGGTTGAAATAAAATGCCCCCATTTGTTCTTGTCTTAAAATCTGTGGGGGTGCCCTTGCCTCTGTAACACATAAGAACCCAATTCTCAGTGTCCCCCCTCTCATTGCTTTGTCATGCAATAAGAACCTAAGATCTAATTGACTGTTTTATCTGTTAGATGTCTTTTAGGCATCAGCCTGCCACACAGAAAAAGCCCATTATGTTATTTGGCTCATTCTGTGTGCTTTGGGAATAGCTCATGTGATACAACCAACTCGAGTGATAATCCTGTGTTTTCTACATCAATTAAATCTCTGCAGGTCCATTTTCTACAAGGCAGTTGTGTGAATGTGTCTACTTTTCTTTGGAGGCCTTGGCTTCCTTCTTCCTGGGAAGGGAGGAAGGGAAAATTAATATTCATGGAGCACCACCCTAGGTAGTATCCGATTTAATCATCCCAGCAATGTAGATAGTTATGTAGATATTTTCTGCTTCATTTTATGGAAGAAGAAGAGGAGAGGCCAAGGCTTAGAGATCTTTAAGTGCCTCGGGTAAGTCCCCAGTAAAGTAGCTGAGCTCTCTGTACTCCATTCGTGGACCCCTGGAGCACCCTTTCCCAGTCCCTGGAAGTGCTAACATTCTCCATCTCCCTCTGCCTCCTCCTACTCCCCCACCTGCCAGCTGGAGACCCATAATACCATTTCCCAAAGGCCAGCTGGCTTTTTCCCCCAATGCAGACAAATGAAAGATAAGCCCCCCACACTCCCTAAGCTGGCACAGTTGGTTTTTTCCTGCTCCTCTGGTATGAGCAGTTTTCATATAGCCTTGGATTTATAGCAAGAGAATTTGAGGAGGGCAACTGAGATGGCTCCTTTCATTTATCTGCATAAGAAAGCCAACTAGGACAAAAGTTACAAAATAACCCAGACTAGTGTCCTACCCACTTCCTAGGAAGGAAAAACAAAGAAAAAAAAAAAAGGGGAGGGAGAAAGGAAACAAGGTAATTCTAAATTTGTTGATGCCGCCTCGTGCCAGGTGCTTTTCAGAGGTTGCTTGTAATCCTAATCTTTTGAAGCTGGTATTCTTAATGTATAGATGAAGACATTTAGGCTCAGCAGGGTCAAATCACTGTAGCGCAAGGTCACACAAATCCTAGCTGAGGAGGTTGGATTTGAAGGTAGACTTCTGAAAGCTGGATTCTGTTGAGACCATGCTCCTTGTTCTCTTCCTGGCTCACAGACCAGTCCTAGCCTCCTTGGTTTGAAGACCTGGGCTCCAGGGTGGGAGTGGCTTTGAGCCATAGCGCTGGAGGAGCAAAACCTTCATTGGCCAAGGTTTACAAAGGAACTTTTTCAGATACTCCAAAATCATCCCTGCCCTTCCGTGGGTTTTAGAATCTGACTGAGGAGACTAGAATCATAGACCTTTGGAGCTGAAAGGGGCTGTCTTAATCTGTTCGGACTGCTATAACAGAATAGTGAACGGGGTGACTTTCAAACAACATTTCTTGTAGTTCTGAAGCTTAAAAGTCCAAGATCTAAGTGTTCCTTGTCTGGTGTGGGCTTTCTGGTTCGTGGAAGGCACCTGCTAGCTGTGTCATCACACAGTACAAGGACAGAACCCTGTTCGGTTCAGCCCCTCCCTTATAAGGAAACTCATTCCATTCTGTTCAGGAGGGCTCCACTTCCATGCCCTAATCACCTCCCAAAAGCCCCACCTCCTCTTACCATCACCTTGGAGGTTGGATTTTATCAAATGAATGGGGCGGGGTGGGGGAGGGGACATAAATATTCAGTCCAAAGCAGGGACTTTGCAGGTCACTGGTTCAATCCAGGCATGCTTTGTTGTAAACAGCCTAGCAAGATTATAATAGCTGCCCCATGTTGCCCTGGCAGTATATGGCAGGGGAGGACCAGGTTCTAACTTTCTGGAGCTTCAGGAATGAGTTTTTGTTGTTTTTTTAAAGAGGATACCAATTTTGAATAAACTATATGTTCACATGACTCAGAATTCAGATGGGACAAAAGTTACTCCTTCTATGAGCTATCTACTGCGCCTCCTTGAGGGTAGCAAGTATTACCAGGTCCTTCTGGAGAACCGAAGGAAAATAAAAAGGGACGATGTTATGCTTCTCTTTGCCATTACCGGTGGGGTATGGGTCATTCCTAACAGAGGATGGGGTGATTGCCCAAAGCTCTGTTGTGAGACGTTTGTTGACTTTTCCTAAGGGAGCAATGTTGGGAATGATGACAGATCACCCCCGACTTTTCCCCTACCCTGAATAAAATCTTCCACACACAACAGCAGTATGGGGAAGTCACCCTGGCCTTAAGATGCTTGGGTATACTTTTGATTTTGCTGCCTACAAGCTCTGTGACCTGAACAAGTCTGTTCTGGTTCCTGGTCAAAAGCACACTCCCGAGATGAGGGAGGGTGGCAGCCTCAGCTTTAGCAATTCCAAGGGGTCCGCCTCGGGTGGGGCATCGGCCTCATTCGGAAGAATGATGGAGGGCCAGAGTAGGGCTTAGGTGGGGAGGGGCGCTGAGAGGGGATGGCTGGTCCCACCCCCAGCTTCTTTGAAGGGAGGTGGGGAAATGATAGTTAAAAACTGGAGTGCCGGCTCGACGCCTATAGCTCAACCGGCTAAGGCGCCAGCCACGTACACCTAAGGTGGCGGGTTCAAATCCCCAGCCCGGACCCGCCAAACAACAATGACGGCTGCAACCAAAAAATAGCCGGGCGTTGTGGCGGGCGCCTGTGGTCCCAGCTACTTGGGAGGCGGAGGCAGGAGACTCGCTTGAGCCCAGGAGCTGGAGGTTACTGTGAGCTGTAATGCCACGGCACTCTGCCCAGGGGGACAGCTTGAGGCTCTGTCTCAAAAAAAAAAAAAAAACTGGAGTGCCTGCCACCAGCCATGTCCTAAAGAGTTGCGAAGAGCCCTGTCCTCCTTTTTTGCATCTTCTATTTTCCCTGCTTATCTGCCCCATGGAAGGTGCCTTCTCCAGCAGCTGTGTCCCCAAGTGAAGGGCTGATGTCACACTGCTTTGCCATGATGAATGACCACAACCAAAAGAAGACAGGCTTACCCTTCTTTTCCAGTTCTCTAATTTGAAACAAGAATACACCCAGGATTTCCCATCCCAGAAGCTGGTGGTTCACATGTGCCAGCACACACATTGGCAATGACCTTGTTTCTAGTAAGTAAGTCCATTGAAACGGAAACTTTAATTTACATGAGATGTTTTCATCGTCACTCTGGAAGAATAAAACAGAGGTGCTGGTGCCCTGCTATCACAAGGATTACTCACATCAGAGTAGGGTTGGGGAGACGGCGGACAAATGTAAATAGGAGTCCTTGTAATTTAGACTCTGCCAACATTTTTTATCAGATGGGAGGAGAAGAAATGGCCAGGTATTCTGCTTCTAATGTCCAGGACAGTGCGGACACATGCACACACACAGCATAGAGAGAGCACTTAGCTCCCTCGAGGGTTAGCATCCTGATTGTGAGTGCGTTGGAAGATCTGGTGGCATTTCTTCTAGAGAAAGTGTAGGAGTGCCCATCTGGCCCAGCAGGGCACTATCCTCAAAGCTCTGCTCCTCTTCCCTGTGGGGCCCCACAAGGCCTCCCTGGGAGGACCCGTTACGCAAGGGTCCAGTAGCTCCTCCTTTTGGGCTGGCAGGACTGTGGAGAGGCTCCCAGCAATGCTCTGACCCTTAGGCTCTCGTACATACTCTGGGATGGCCAATGGAACCTTTTGGAGCCAGGCTTAGGATGAGATGGCCTGAGAAGAAGGATTACCACCCCTCTTTCTTGATTGAGTCAGAACATCTGGTTAGTTTTCTCCCTCCTATGTTTTCTTCTTGAAAGAACCTTATCAGTTCATCTAATCCACATGTCAGTTGCTTCCACCAGGCTCTGTGCTCTGATTGGACAGGGGGCTGGATCTGGGTCTTTGGGATGATTGATCTGGAGTTGGGAGAGACCTAGTGGGTTCATTAAGCAGCTCAGCCACAGTCCTCACTCCCAGGCACATTACCGGCTCTCAAGCAGCCTCCTAGCTATGCAGGGAGAGCTCTTCTAAGTAGTATTTGTGATGAAATGGTGTGCGGGTGGGCAGCACGGCCTGGCAGGGTGCTGCCCCTACGTCCAGGAAGCACAGAGGCGCTCTAGCAGGATGGGGTGCAGGTTGTGCTCTCCTAGTTTTAAAAAATCCTAGCTAGAGAGGTCAGCCTGCTTCCTGGCTTCGCTCTCTGGAGGGCATAGGTGACATTCCTGATGACCTCTACAAAGGAGAGGGACATCTGCTCTTGGGAGGTAGCGAGCAGAGAGACAGTTTGTGGAGTCCCATTTCAGAGTTAAAAGCAGAGAGGGTATGAATCAAACAAGGATTCCCACTTTAGCCTATGTCTCAATTTTCACATCGTGAAAATGGGGTTGGTAGTATTGTCTATCCCTTAAAGTGGTGGGAAGGCTGAGGAAGTCCCCAGCACAGTGTCCAACAGGTGGTCAGCCCTCAGTGAATGCTAGCTAGCCGCTGTTATCACCGCCCCGGGCAGGGAGGTCAGGAGCCATGACTTAGATGCTGGAACTTGTGTGACTTCCCATGAGTAACAGCAAAAGTCTTGGACACAAAGACAAAACAAGGAAGAATTTGCTGAGGATTGTGTTCCTCTTCATGGCCAGTTATGTGTGAAAGAGGCGAGGAGAGGAGAGGGTTGCAGAGGGGAAGGAGAGTGGAGAGGAGAGGGGAGAAGTGGAATGCACAGGCTCTGGGGCAGGCAGAGTATGGACGAGGCAGGGCAGGCCTGAGAGATGGTGCCGTGGGCTGGAGCAGGAGAGTGGCTCATGCTTGTCAACCATGTGGACTTGGAAGTTTGAGGACATAGGCTTGACCACTCTCCTAGTGATCAATCCCCTCGTAGGGCCACTGCTGGGCAGCCTGGGCACTTAGGCCTAGAATCAGAAAGGGGCAGAGGTAGGGGTGGAGACCGGACTCCTTTGGATGACTGTTATATTGGGCTGCCTCTACATTATGCCTGCAAAAGACCTGGGTTCAAATTCTGGCTGCTGTTTACTGGCAGAGCATGAGAAGTTTGGGAAATGAGTCCTCTTTCTAGGCCTCAGGTTCTTATTTTTGTAATGGAGCTGAAACTACCTCACACTGAGAGGATTAATGAGATAACTCAAGTCAAGTACCCAGAGTGAAGAACCTTGTAAACTGTAGAGTGCTGTGGAAATGCAAGTTGTTACCCAGCCTCTGCTTGAGTGTTCTTCAGGACAAGGTGCTTATCACTCCATAATGTAGCT